ACACCTCATTTGTGGTGAGAAAGTTCCATAAGTGAACGTTAAGGCATTGGATTTGTTGTACACCCATCTGTTGTCCATTTTGTCGATTTGCATGAGATCCTATCACCTCGCCTGGCCATCCTTCCACTCTGTCCTCTGCATCAGAAAAGCCTCACTATCATCAACTGCTATTCTCCAACATCAGCATCTGATGACTCGGAATCTGGAAAGAGAAGTCCTTTTACAAATTTGCCGCGGGTGTCTTCAGTGCGAAAATTGAGATGTCAGAAGAAGGGTAGCATAGGATTGGGAAATTTGGATCAGGACTCCGAATAAAGGGTGACCGCCTCGTTGTGCTCTTATCCACCGCACGACTTTTTCATGGCAATCTTCATGAAGAAAGAACACCGTCGGTGGACATGTGAGTCACCCAATGGTACAACTCATGAGGAGATCGACCACATTCTCAACAGCCGAAGGTGGTGCTTATTGAAGGTCTCAGTGGTACCATCCTTCAGCAGTGTTTCGGATCACTGCCTTCTCCAAGCAAAAATGCTTCAGCCGAGCGTTGGAAAAGAACTTCTCGACTACCGCAAACTGCTGACGGCATTGCTAAGACGGGACTTGCACATCCTTCCGCTAAAAAATGGAATCGATTACGAAGAGGTTCCACTGTAGGAATACCAGTACGGATTCTACCTGCCGAAGTACGCGCCGCAATCTAGACCATGAAGGCAGTCCTTCGGAACCAGACCACGTATCGGCCGACCTCTTACGAGCTGGAGAGCGTGATAATGGCGGAACATCTAACGCCTTACCTTCAAAAGGAAAGGATCCCCGACCAGTGGATAAATTCCTAAACAATTCTCCTTCATAAGAAGGGCAATTTTCGATACTACCGTGCAACATGCCTGTCGCAACTGCTTTACAAGCTCTTCACGGAGATTATTCTCATTCACACGTCATGTTGACTCGTTGAATAAAGCCTAACCTGTAGTACAAGCTGCGTTTTGCAAGGGATTTAGCTGCATGGATTGCATCCATACAGCTTTGGGTTTCTCGAGTTTGCCGTACCCCTTACGTCTCGTCCCGACTTTTGTCGACTATGAGGAAGCGTTTGACAGCGTCGAGGCTAACATACTGTCAGCGCTCGTTGACCAAGGGGTGTCCCGTCTTACCTGCGGACTTTCGCCGACTACTACAAGAATGCTACAGCGGTACAGCTTTTCCATCGCCCCCTTAACATACCAATTTCGAAGGAGGTTCGACAAGGCGGCACTGTGCCGCCAAAGCTTTTTACCG